CTAGATTGCTACATGTTGTAGTCAAGAGGTGGTCAACCACCATCTAGACAAGCTCCTGGAATGTCTCATACTGGGCCTCTTCCAATAGGCAGCCCCACCAGGGTCTCTACTTGGACCTCCCAAGGGTCACCCATGTTCTATCCCTCCACATGGTATAATATTGGTAGGTTTTTTTTTTCTGTTGATGCCTTTTCATGGGTACTTTGGCCCTTCATGGTCCCTTCCATATGACTACAGCAAGTACCCCTCTGTCTACCCAGACCCAATCCACATCCCTCAAGTGCAGACTTGTGGCCCAGTTCAGGGCCCCACTCCCAAGTAAAATTGTCACCCTTTCTCCTCCTCTTGTATCCTCCCAGTATCATCTTCATTTTTTGGACACAAGGAAAAAAAGAATGTTGGTTTTAAATGTTTTGGAAGTTCAACTAAGAATAAATCTCCATGTATTTATTTGGGAGCTGGGTGGCAAGGTGTTGGGGAATATTATTTTAAGGTGTGTTACTTTTGTTTATGGTGCATTTGTTTAACTCTGTGAAGTTGTGATTTTTTTGCCTGTCTGAAATACTTGATGGGCCTAATAAAGAGGTGAACAGCCAATAGCGAGGCAGGAACAAGGATAGGTGGGGCTGGCTGTTGTAAGAGGCCACTGTTTGTTCCCTGCTGCTCAGCCCCGAAATAACCACACAGAAACCATATTATTTGCAATACTGTTTGGCCAATAGCATAAACGTATTTATGAATAACTCATATCTTAAATTAACTCATCTCTATTAATCTGTGTACTGCCATGAGGCTGTGGCTTACTGAGATCGGGCATCTGTCTCCATTGGGGCTCCATGGCTTCTCACTGACTCTGCCTTCTTACTCCCAGCATTCAGTTTAGTTTTCCCCATCTAGCTAAGTTCTGTCTTTCCATAGGCCAAAGCAGCTTCCTTATTCATCAATGGTAATCACAGCGTACAGAGGGAATCCCACATCAGCTGGAAGGCAGAGAGTAGAAATAGAAGGAGCAACACGAGAACAACAGGGGAATGAGGAGAGGAGGACGTCCAGGCCAGCCACCCAGCCAGCCGTGGAGTCAGAGTGGAAGTAAGATATACAGAAGTGACAAAGGAAAGAGCCCAGAGGCAAAAGGTAGTTGGGATAACTTAAGTTAAGAAAAGCTGGCAAGAAACAAGCCAAGCTAAGGCTGGGCATTCATAACTAAGAATAAGCCTCCATGTGTGATTTATTTGGGAGCTGGGTGGGGGGCTCCCTCCCAAAAAGACAAAAGAGTAAAACATCACACAACAGCAGGGCCCCCAAAAATCAAAGAGTAAAAAGAGAAAATACAACCAACTACACCAGACGAAACAAGCAACAACAAAAACCCCTGAACCAAAACCAAGATGAGAAGCAATACTGTAGGTTTACCTCTGGGCTCACATGTGCTTGTGCCACACACACACACACACACACACACACGCATGCACACACACACACACGCAAAGGACTGTCAGGCATGATGGTATACTGCTTGTCTCTGAGCATTAGAGAATTGGAAAGAGTAGTATCAGAAGTTCAGGGTCATCCTTGGCTTCACAGCAAGTTCCAGATCAGCACAGGTTACAGGAGCCTCTCTCTCAGAAGAGTCAAATGAACAAAAACAAGCAGGTCTGTGGATGCAGTTTAGTTGGTAGAGGGCTTGTCTGGCAGGTACATAGTCCTGGGCTCCAATTCAGTGGTGTGGAAGGCTCTTCTATCTGTGTGTTGCTTTTATTGGTCAATGAATAAAGAACTGCTTTGAGCCTATGGCAGGGAAAAACAGAACTAGGCAGGGAAAGCTAGGCTGTATGCTGGGAGAAAGAAGGGCGGAGTTGGAGAGACACCATGATGCAGGATCTTTAGCCAGTAAGTAACAACCACATAGCCATACACAGATTAATAGAAATGGGTTAAATTAATATGTAAGAGTTAGCCAATAAGAAACTAGAGTTAATGGGCCAAGCAGTGAGTTAATTAATACAGTTTCTGTGTGATTATTTCAGGTCTAAGCTAGCCAGGTGGCTGGGAACCAACAAGCGGCCTCCTTGCAATAACCCAGCACTTTATAAACATGAACATGCCTATCATCCTGTCACCTGGAAAGTAGAGGAACAGGATCGGATCAGGAATTTAAGGTCATCTTCACCTACATAGTGAGTTTGAGGCTAGCCTGGGGCTGGTCTGACCTCCCAGAGACCTTGTCTCAAAAGATAAAATATATTAACCAAAAATCAACCTAACCAAAACAATTCCTCTTGCACAGACACGTAAGAGAGTAAATTGATTCCTGTATTAAAAATAGGTCCAAGCTGGGTGGTGACTCATGCCTTTAATCTCAGGACTCAGAAGAGAGAGGCAGGTAGATCTCTGTGAATTTAAGGCCAGTCTGGTTAATAAGTGAGTTCTAGGACAGCCAGGCTTACACAGAGTGATCCTGTCTCAAAAAGAAAAAAAAAAAAGGCGGGGGCGGAGAGAAGTTCACATAGAAAGACCCCATCTAAAAGATAACAGGTTTAGCAAATTTACAATAGAAAATCAGTATTCAATGTTATCTCACCCCTGAGAGACATGCAATAAATGAAGCTATTTAAAGAGTCTACATGCTGAGGGAGACCTTAAGGTGTATTAGGCCCCTGTAGACACAAGACAAGCAGGTGCTACAGTACAGGAGCAGTGACTACTGTGTTTGTCTGAGAACCTGCAAGATAATGTGAGCCTGGGAAACCAAAAGACAAAATTGTTTCCCAGTGTCCCGGGAGATAAAAGGCTCTTTATGGGCAAGGGAGGGCTATGCCCACAGCCGCAGTATCTCTGGCACCTCAGGAAAAGGGGTGTGGTAAACTCCATATGGTGCAGCTCAGCCCATGGGACACATTTGTCTACTGATGATAAAGCGTGTGTTCCCTCGACAGGATCCCAGGTGTTCTGTGCAGGTGTGCACACCTGGGAGGAAGGGAGGTAAATTTAAACTGCCTTCCCTTGATGACATTGGGGAGCCTGGGACAACTGACTTGCTGTGGGGATCAGATATCCCTAAGGAAAACACACACACACACACACACACACACACACACAAACGTGTGCGCACACGCACGCAGGCACACATGCAGGCACACGCACACGTGCACATGCACACACACGCACGCACACACATACACATGCGCACATGCACACACACACATACACACACATGGAATTTAAACAGATAAATTACACAGATGCAGTGGTGCCTGTCTATAATCCCAGTACTCAGGAGGCTGAGGTGGGATACCTGCCCTCTTTGAGGGACTAGGACTGCATAGCAAAACTCTGTCTTCAGAAACCAAAATAAGGGCTAGGGATGTCAGCTGGTAGAGTGCTTGCACATCATGTAAGAGGTCCATGATTTGACCATCAGCACCGTGTGAAATGAGGGATTTGAGGTCTTTCTTGGTTAGATTCTGAGTTCAAGGCCAGCCTGAACTACACGAGACCCTGTCTCAAAACAAAAACAAACTAACACCAAAACCAGGGCCTGGAGAGATGGCTCACCATTAAGAGCAAGTACTACTCTTGTAGAAGAGTCAAGTCTGGTTACCAGTTCCCAGGTCAAGTGGCTGCCAATGGTCTGTAACGTCAGCTCCAGGGAGTCTAATCCAGTTGAAATCCGATCCTCTTCTGGACTCCACAGGGACTTGCACTCACATGTACATCCCCTCACCACATAATCATAAAATTTAAAATAAAAAAAGATCTTTAAAAAAAGGAAAAATAAAACCATAACATAACAAAACAAAATCTATAAATAAACATAAACTGATTGATGAAATAATTGAAACAAACCAATTTCAGGCAATAAAATGTATACAAAGCATTTTTATATAAAAAGAGAGGAAGATGATGGTAAGTTTGGAGAAGAATTGGATAAGATGCGGGTGGGCCAAATTAGGCTAAATAACCTGGGTATTTTCTGTAACTGTCAGTTTGCCTTTCTCTAATATATGACCCTCACTGTAATTTTCTTTTTCACCCTGTCCAGCACGGCCATCGGACAGACACTACACCAGTGGTCACTCCAAGAACCCGGATTCTCATACTGAGTTGAGGGCAAGACAGACAACAGCAGGTCATTGGAACCCAAACAGGCTATCCTCCAACTTCTGGGTTCTCCATGGCTCTGGTCTATTCCCATTCTTTCTTTCTTTGTGGTTTTATTTTATCTTTGTTTTTTTCGAGACAGGGTCTCTCTGTCTAGTCCTGGCTGTCCTGGATCTGGCTGTGTAAACCAGGCTGGCCTTGAACTCACAGAGATCCTCTTACTTTTGCCTCCCAGGTACTGGGATTAAAGGAGAGCACCACCACACTCTGCTTTTCATTCATGACTATGCCCTCAGACACCAGCAGTACTTCACTCTGTTAGCTGGAGTGAGAGTCTTGCTGATCCAGATAAAGGCTGGGCTTCTGAAGAAATGCCTGAGGAGGAAGTGGGCACACAAGATGGTGATGGTGTGCGCTGTTGCGTCCATCTTGGAATTGTTGTCTATCAGGCAGGCACGCGACAGAAGGGCTTCTCTTGTTTGTCTCTCCCCATAGGAGAGACCTGTCTCTTTGTGTTTTATTGGCCACATGGCTTTATTGACCAATACAATGTAAGTATTGTTGTGCTACACAAACTTTAAAAAGGATCTAAGTGAGATTACCAAAAAAATAAAAAATGGGCAAAGGGGACTGGTGTGGGAAGTCCTTCTATATGTGTGTTGTTTTTATTGGTTAATGAATAAAGAAACTTTTTTGGCCCGTGATAGGGCAGAGTAGAGTGGCGGGGGGGGAGGGAGGGAATTAAACTGAATGCTGGAAGAAAGAAGGCAGAGTCAGAGAGAAACCGTGTAGCTCTGCCAGAGACAGACATAATGGAACCTTGCTGGTAAGCCACAGCCACGTGGTTATACACAGATGAATAAAAATGGGTTAATTTAGAATGTAAGAGCTAGCCAATAAGAAGCTAGAGCTAATAGACCAAGAAGTGATTTAAATAATATAGTTTCTGTGTGGTTATTTTGGTTCTGGGCAGCCAGGAACAAACTAACAGCCTCCGTCAACAGGGGACAGGTTCTCACGTATCCCAAGCTGGCCACAAATGCATTATATAGCTAGAGATGACCTTGAACTTTGGATCCTCCTTCCTCCTTCCTATTGCTACGATTGTAGGCATGCATCATGGTCAGTATACTATACAGTGCTGGGGTAGAATCCAGGGTTTCATGAATGCTAGGCAAGCACTCTACTGACTGAGTTACACTGCCAGTTCTAATTAGTCAGTTTTGTTTCTGATGTATCTCTCTCTCTCTCTCTCTCTCTCTCTCTCTCTCTCTCTCTCTCTCTGTGTGTGTGTGTGTGTGTGTGTGTGTTGTGTGTGTGTGTTGTGGAAGATTTTGAACTTCTGATTCATTGTCTCCACCACTCAAGTACTGGGATGACAGGTGTGTGCCACCATATCTGACCTAAACATTGGCAGGTCCTTTATCCCTTCTGTCTCATCTTCTCAACACTAACCAATCCATGATAATCTCCCCCAGCTGCTTCAATATTCAATATGCTTCTAGCTTATCTCCTGGCTTTTAGGTATGCAATTAATTAAGAAAACCATCCTCCATACAGTTGACAAAGATGTCAAAACTAGCCCAAGGCCACAGCTGAAGCACCTTTGGTGACTCTTCACCCCATAAGGGACTTGTCAGTCATCACAAGGTGGCTTCTGTTGAGACTGTCAACCTCATTTCCTTTACATTGCTAGCTCCCCCTCTATGCTCAGCAGAATTTAGCTGCCTGTTCTTTCTTTCTTTCTCTCTGGTACTTTCCATGCCAAACTGGAATGATCTGGTCTTTCTCTTTCAACAGATTCCTATCTGATGAAGGCAGGCACAAAGGCTTAACATTTCAAGCCCAGAGTGTAGAATTATGCCTGGCCTACAGGAGGCGCTCTATCCATGTTAGTGGGGTTGAAATAAACCAAATCAAGCATCAACTGAAGACAACTCCTGAGTTGTATCAAAGCCTCTGGCTTACACAGCAGATCACACGGTGATTGGCCCTTTTGAACAGAAATATAGCAACACGTGACAGACATCCTCTCTCCCTCACTTACTGCTTTCCCATGTGTGAACACTCCCCCGGAGGGGAAAAAATTCAAACGGAAAAATGTGCACAGATGTCCTGGCAACTGCAGTTATAACAGTGAAAACCTGGAAGCAGTCCAAGTGTCTAACAGGGAAGTGACTGAGCAAACAATGGGATTATTATATAGCTATTAAAAATGACAGAGGTGAGAACTGTCAACATGGAGAGTTATGTACTGGCAGGAACTGGCAGGAACATGAAGTGGAAAAAGAACACGGACTAGCCTTTAGGGACGTGTGCGCAGTAGTAAAGCTCAGAGGCCGACCTGGAAAAAAATGACAATGGCTGCAGTTCAGAGTTCTCAGGTGTTCAGACCCTGTAAGATTCCATCCATGTATGACAAGAATAGTTGAGAGCTCACAAAATCCACCTACCTCAAAGTATTGTGCAGAAGGGCGCGTGGCAGCACAAGCTTGTAATCAAAGTGTTTAGGAGGCAGAGGCAGGAGGATCAGGATTTCAAGGCTACCCTCTGCTGCACGGTAAGTGGGAGGCTGGCCTGAGTTGCTTGAGACCTGGAGTCAAAAACAAAAAACAAACAACAACAAAAACCAAAGCAAAAGTTGGACATTGTGCCTTCGATCTTCAGTCCCAGTGAAGGCAGAGGCAGGCAGAACTCTGTTTGAGGCCAGACAGGGCTACACAGTGAGTCCCTGTCTCAGAAAACAACAGTCAGACAAAAGCACCACCCCAGTTTTCAGGGGCTGGGGAGAGATGACTCAGTACTCACAAGCGTGTGCTGTTCTTGCGGAGGTCCTGGGTTGGGTCCCTAGCATCCACACCAGGCAGCTCACAACAGCCTAGAATTCCAGTTCCAGGGCGATCTGACATTCTCTTCTGGATTCCAAGGGTGCTATACTTATATGCACATACCTATATAGACACAGACAAACACACACAGACTCTAAAAAAAAATTAAGTCTTCAGAATAAGTACTCTATGTTATCTACCAGGTAGAATAGTCCAAAGAGATATTTATTTAATGTCAACTTCTTACTAACATTGTTTTGAAAATAGTGGCATTTCTTCTCCTCCTCATCCTTTTTTCTCCTCCTTTCTCCTCCCCTACCCCACCCAGGTCTTACTATGAAACCAGAATGGTCTCAAATTTGATTTTATTCTGCATCTGACTCCTGGGTGCACAACTACAGATGTGTTCCAGCACTCTACCCTGTATGTGTGCTCATGTGTATATGACTGTCTTAGGGTTTCTATGGCTGTGATGAAACACCATGACCAAAGCAAAGGAGGAAAGGGTTTATATCCTCTCTCCAGGGATGTCAGGGCAGGGACTCAAGGCAGGAGCTGATCAGTGGCCACAGAGCAGCGAGGTTTACTGGTTTCCTTTCCCTGCTTATTTGTTTTCTTTCTTATACACTGTAGGACCAGGTACCTGTATAGGAATGGTACCCACAGTGAGCTGAACCCTTCTATTTATTACATCAATTACTACACAAGAAAATACCCCACAGACTGAATTCCCTCTTCCTGGATGATCCCATCTAGTGTCAAGTTGAAAAACAAAACAAAACAAAAACAAAAACAAAAACAAAACAAAAACAAAAAACCCTAACCAGGATGAATTTATGTGTGTGTGGAAAATGTGTATGTGTGTATGTGTGTGTTATACTAGCTGGCCTGATACTTGATATGTAGAGCAGAGCAAGCTGGCCTCAAACTCACAGACATCCACTTGCCTCAGCCTCCTGAGTCCGCTAGAATGAAAGGCATGCCCAGCTGATTTTGGAATCTCTTATTCTTTCTCTTCTCCCTCCTCCTCTTCTTGATTCTTTGAGGCAGGATCTCACACTCACACTGTAGCCTAAGGCTGGCCTGGAACTCTGTGTAGACCAGGCTGGCTTGGGCCTCACTGTAGAGCTCATATTGACCTTCTACAGTTTAGATCTGAGTCCCGAAGGCCCATGAATTAAAAGCTTAGTCTCCAGCATGGCACTGTTACAGGGTGGTGAAACTTTTAGGGGTCCGACCTAATGAGAGCGCTGTGCTTGCTTGGCCTGTTTGGTGACACGCCATTAAAGGTGGCTATCATATGGAACCCCAATTTCCTCTTCTTCCTCTGTGTTTTACTCACCCCCCCCCCCCGCTTTAGTTTTTTGAGGGCTTCTCTGTAGCTTTGGAGCCTGTCCTGGAACTAGCTCTTGTAGACTAGGCTGGTCTTGAACTCACAGAGATCTGTCTGCCTCTGCCTCCCGAGTGCTGGGATTAAAGGCGTGTGCCACCACCACCCGCTGTGTTTTACTTTTCTAAGGTATGAGCAGTTTGCCACACACCCCTACCCTAGTGTGCTGCCAAAGCAATGGGGCGAACAGATCATGGGCTAGAACCTTAAAGCACTGAGGAAAATACATCTTTTTTTCCTCTCCCCACTCTACCGTGTGTGTGTGTGTGTGTGTGTGTGTGTGTGTGTGTGTGTGGACGTGCACATGCGTGCCGAGCTAAGAGAACAACTTTGAGTGTAGTTCCTCAAGTGCTGGCTTCCTTTTTGCTGTTGGAGGAGAGAGTGCTTGTGAAGCGGGCTAGCCTGCCCAAACAGTGACACCAGGCTGGCCTCTAACTCACAGAAATCCACCTGCCTCTGCCTCCAGAGTGCTGGGATTAAAAGCATGCACCACCACTGCCTGGGTCATACTTGGCATATTTTAATGTAGGTTCTGAGGTTCTGATTCAGGTCTGTGTGCTTCTGAGTTTTACTCTACAGCCCAGGCTGACCTTGAACTTTTAGCAACTGCACCGTTTTAGCTTTCAGAGTGCCAAAATTACAGGCTTGTATCACCATGCCCCACCATTCTGTCTCTTTTAAGTAGACACTGGAGCCATCTTGCTTGAAGTTGTGTTTATTCTGTTAGAAGCTATAACCAGAATGCTTGGACATGGACTAAATTCACACTGATCGAGTTCAAAAGCAGCAGAGTAGCAGCAAGTGCCTTGCTCAGACAAAGACTGATTATCGGTACAAAAGCGAGGGGGCTTAACCATGTTCTCCACGTTTTCTGATTTTCTAAATGAGGCAGAGGCAAGAGGATCAACTCAAGTTCAATGCCATCCTGGTCTGCTTAACGAGTTCTAGGCCAGCCAGGGCTCCACAGTGAGATCCCACTTCACAGAAACAAAACAGAAGACTCCAGATGGACCAGGGAGGTTTTGGGTTTTTGTTTGTTTGTTTTTTTGTTTGGAAGCAGGTCTCACGTAGCCCAGGCTGGATTCCAGCTAGTTAAATACCTGAGGATGACCTTGAACCTCTAACCCTCAAGCTTTTACATCCTGGTGCTGGGATTACAAGTGTGGGCCACCAGGATGAGTTTATGGGGTGCAGGCGGTAAAATCCTGGGCCTCCTGCTTGCTAATCTTCTACATCCCATGAATCATTAAGTGAAAACCAGTTTAGCATTTCTAATCTGAAATCGACAGTATCAGACAAAGGATCCTGTTTTGGGGGCCCCCCTTATGACTAGTTGCCCGGCTAAGCCCCACTCACCTCTGAACGCTTCAGGGATAGATACGGGTGTATCTTCACAATATGGTCTGGGTAAACACACTGGAGAGGCGCTCAGTTTCCTGCCTGTATTATCGACAAAAGATAACTGTCCTTTTAGGCCCTGCTGAGGAGCCTGTAGGTAGAATCCACTCAGTAACCATCACGTGAGCTACAGCCCCCCGCAGCCATCAACTCTCCACTGCATGGAAAGTGTATAATTAGCTCGGTGTGCAGCTTGACCCCAGTGATTTTTCTGACGCACTTGGCCTTCAGTGTCCGCCCTTTCTGAGACCTCCTGTGTCTTCTCTACAGCTGGAGATGCCCTAAACTGCACGCAGCACTTCCTGTGGGTGTGGCCTTGCATTCTTAGGCACTCCTTGGCAACAGCTGCCCCCCAAAGGGTCACATGTTTCAGCTACTCCCAGACCCACAAAGCTCTTTGAAATGGACCATGAGTGGCTCTATCAATTGTAATTGAGTTTTCCAGTCCCTCCTATTTCTTTTTAAAAAGCGATTCTCTGATGGAGTCTTCTCAAAGAAACACTATAATTGGGCAGCCTGGGGCATGTGGGAAAGACTCCCGATGGCGTCAGTAACTATTCTCAGGAGAGGAAAGGCAGGGTATCCCCACTGGGAGATGACAGCACTCGTTTCAAGTTGGGGAAGAGCCTGTGGTTCTCTTCCTGTGTTCGGAGGGGGAAAGCGAACACACAATGTTCGTTTCCCTAAATACGGGATGTGCTATGCTAGCGGCTCATTTTCCAACATGTCATATCCTGGCAGGAGGCAGCAGGGGTCAGGGCAGGAAACGGCAACTTCTCCGAATGAGACAAGGCTTTCCCAGAGCGGTCATTGGCTCCAGGGAACTATAAAGTACGCTCATCCAGAAACGGCCTCTTACTTTTCTTCCTGGAGGCCGGAGTGAAGGGTAAGTGGGGAGTCCAAGGGGATGCGTCTGAAATGGGAATGGTGACAGGGGATCAATTCTTGGGCCCTCGTGTACTCAGAGTGACTGTTGCTCCTTCGTTCTTTTTACCTGAAAACTTCTTACTGGTCAGATAGCTCATAGAGGCCCACAAGGAACAGTAGGACCTTAGTCAGGGGACCAGCGCTCTTCACAGGGTCCCGGGAAACAGCCGGATTTGCAGCCTGTCTCTAAAATCCCCCATCTTAACTGATGCCGATGAGTTCTGGCTGTGTGAACCTACGCTGCAAGCTTGGGATCCTTGTATTCAGGAGGTGGAAGCTGAGAAATCAGGGGTTTGAGACCAACGTGGACTCTCTAAGATCCTGTCTTTAAAAACAACATCAACAAATGGAGAGAGGTCAAAATATTTAATAACTTCTTGCCCAGATATTTCAGTTTTGATATTCTCTTTCTGTGACGAATTTGACACTGTTAAGATGTTCTGAATGGTAGAAAGGGTATGAAAACTGGGGTCTCTGGTAGCCAGGACAGACGGTACGTTCAGCTTTCTCCATTCGTAGCCTTTTATTGGCTTCGATTCAACTTGATCCAAGGAAGCTTTTAGGGAGTTGTTATCTCCTACCTTCTCCCTTTTTTGCCTTGAGACAGGCACTTGTTATGTAGCCTTGGTTGACCTACAACTCAATATTTAGACCAGGTTGGTCTCTCAAGGATCTGGCCACTGCCTCCCAGGTGCTGGGATTGGAGGTGTGTGTTACCACACTGGAATTGGCTATTTATTTTATCCCATTGGCTAGTCTTTTTTTTTAAATGACACTTTTGTAATGAAGAGATATAGCATTAACTGAATGTGATTTAGTTTTAATTAAGTTTCCACCAAAGATCAAGATGTCTGAAGACCTTGGGGTCCTAAGGTAGACTAATCAGAAAATTGTATCTTAGACTGACTGAAAACATAAAGTCTGACAGAAGGGAGTTGCTTCAGAAAAGCAGCCAACTTAGAAAGACTAAGTATTTATTTATTGAAATTAACACACTATAGGGTTTATTTGGGCATTTTCAAACAAAATTTATTTTGTTGGTTCGTCACCCCCTCTTTCTCTCATGCCCCTTTACCCTAACCTTTCTACCCCTAACTCCTTGAGACAAAGTTTCATCATATAATCCAGGCTAACCCTGAATTCACCATGTACCTAAGGCTAGCCTTGCTAGAAAGACTAATTTCTTTAGTTTGATAGATGATATACTTTTTGAGGTTTTGGTTATGTATGTGGAGGGAGTTGAGGGGAGGATCCAACTTGATCCAAGGAAGCCTCAGGAAGCTGCTGTCTCATTTACCCCTGTTCTTTGCCTTGAGACAGGCTCTTGTTATGTAGCCTTGGATGGTCTAGAACTCGATATTTAGACCAGGTTGGCCTTGAACTCTCAGTGATCCTCTGCTTCCCAAGTGCTGGTATTAGAGAGAGGGAGGGAGAGACAGAGGGAGGAAGGGAGGAAGGGAGGGAGGGAGGGAAAGAGGGAGGGAAGGAAAGGCAGAGAGCGAGAAAGAGAAAGAGAGAGAACACAAGAGACAGCTGTGCTTCAAGACCCTAGGATGCAGGTCTCTATATAATGAAAAGCTTTTGCTACATGCCCAGTTTGCCACTTGTAAAGTGTTTGCTTCTATTTCTTGGTTCTTGTTTGCCAGGAGCTGGGGGAGGGAGGATAGGATGGGGGTGTCATACCCAGAGCCTTGTACATGACAAGCAAAGGCTCTACCATTGAACTACACCCTCAGCCCAAGGGTCGTCTTGAAGGCAGAGCGAAGTCACCGTATTGGGACAGCCATCTAATAGTCTCAACCTTCACGCTTAAATCTCATTTAACCAGAGGATGAAGTCCATAGATTCTGTTCCCTGGGAGAAAAGCAAAAGACAGCGGAATCTCTATTTGCAGTTAATGAATTCTGAGAATTTATATGACTAGTCCCAGGCTCCAGAGCTGGCTTTTGAAAACTTGTCACATGACCCAGTGGTAACCTACCGCACCGCCCCCCCCCCACCGAGTGATAGTAACTGATATATATTTATTTATTTATTCATGTATTTATTTCTGTAGCCTTGGGGATTAAATGTAGGGGTTGAATGCTAGGCAAGTGATCTACCATTAAGATACCCCTTCAGCGCAAGGTCTATTTAATCTTTGAAGACTCCCTCTTGTGCACCGGCCAGTTCTAGGCTGGGGCAACAGCGGGCACGGGGTTAACTGCGTATCTATGTCCCTACAGGGTATGGAGAGGCTGGCGGCCTGGGAGCCGCAGGGCGTGGATGCGCTGCGACGCTTCCAAGGACTGCTGCTGGACCGTCGCGGCCGGCTGCACGGCCAAGTGCTGCGCCTGCGCGAAGTGGCCCGGAGGCTCGAGCGGCTACGCAGGCGCTCCCTGGCGGCTAATGTGGCTGGCAGCTCTCTGAGCGCCGCGGGCGCGGTGGCCGCCATCGTGGGGTTGTCACTCAGCCCGGTCACCCTGGGAGCCTCGCTCGTGGCGTCAGCCGTGGGCCTAGGGGTGGCCACAGCCGGAGGGGCAGTCACCGTCACGTCTGACCTCTCTCTGATCTTCTGCAATTCCCGGGAGGTGCGGAGGGTGCAGGAGATCGCTGCCACCTGTCAGGACCAGATGCGCGAGCTCCTGAGCTGCCTGGAGTTCTTCTGTCAGTGGCAGGGTCGCGGGGACCGCCAGCTGCTGCAGAGCGGGAGGGACGCCTCTATGGCCCTTTACAACTCTGTGTACTTCATTGTCTTCTTCGGCTCACGCGGCTTCCTCATCCCCAGGCGTGCCGAGGGGGCCACCAAAGTCAGCCAGGCCGTACTGAAAGCCAAGATTCAGAAACTGTCGGAGAGCCTGGAGTCCTGCACCGGCGCCCTGGATGAATTTAGTGAGCAGCTGGAGTCCCGGGTCCAGCTCTGCACCAAAGCCGGCCGTGGCCACAACCTCAGGATCTCTGCTGATCAGGATGCAGCGTTGTTTTTCTAAGAACATCCTTTACCTACACGGGATGTTCTAGATCTGTAGCATCCACGGGGAAGTGACCCCTAGATGGGGTGCAAAGGATGGCAGAAACTGTTCTTGTAGGGCGTTGGTCCTCAACTCCTTGTGTGTGAGGGACTTTTTCACTTGTGTAATCCCAATGGAGTATGTGACCCTAATCACGCACTTTGAGCGGCGAGGCGGGGCGTGGGGGGGGGGGAAAATCCTTTTTGACTACACACAGCTGGGCAGACTCTCCCGTTTTAGAGTTATAAGAGGAGGGGTACTTTGATGGTTTGAGCTGAGGTCTGGCGAGGTCCCTCTGGGACCACTTTAAGTTCTTTCTAGAATCCTGGGATTCTCAGAAGGTTGGCCAGAGGGGCTTTTGCTTTACAACTCTGCTTCTACAGTTTCTGATACACAGAACTCCAGAATCCAGAACAAGAAAGACCCGTTCTGGCCTTTTGTAGGGTTGTAGATGCAGGCTGGTCCTCTGAGCTTACTGGCCCTGCTCTTGCCGCCCCTGTCAATTTAGATACGAGGCCCAACATGGCCTCGTTCTAATGCTCCATAACATTTGAAAATGATGGCAAGAAATAGTCATTTCCAGTCAGGTGTGCTGGTCTATACCTGTAAGGTTAGCACTTGGAGATGAAGACAATCAGCATCATCCTTGGCTACACCACCCAGGATTCTAAGACCCTGATCTCAAAAGCCAAAACCGAACCAAAACAACAAGAAGTTAACTGGACTTCCTTCAATAGACTGTTCAAAGCCTCTGCAGGGGCTTTGTCATCTTTAGAATCACTCACAGAAAGCCCAGGAGACACTCACTGTCCCACAGGTCAAGGAGACCATGTCCCCTGTGAACTAGGAGATGGAACACCACAAGCCCTCTAGAGGGCAGTGTCGCCCGTTCCTTGTGGAACCTGGTACCGAACGGAATGTGAAATTACCAGAAAAACCCATCTTTCTCTAGTCTCTGAAACCTCCAGATGACATATCTTTATTTATTTAAAATGTGTTATTTAATTACTGCCTATTATTTACATTTAATTTTATTTAATCATCACGTTTAGAAAATGATAAGAATAGTGAATATCTGAATGGGAGTTTCTTATGGCTCTTTTCAAGAGGACAAGTTTGAAGTCCTTAAATGTCTTTTTCCCCTCAGAGGGTACTCTTTTCTCTAGTGTTTTACATGATTCTTGTAAGTAAGATGGGGAAGTCCTGAATAGAGAGGTAAAGCTGACTTTTAAACTAGGAAATGGGATCTTGGATTGTGGGACATATGAATGATTAAGCCCGTGTGTCCTGAAGGTACTTTACCAGAACAGAACACTTGACTTAAACAGAAAACCTGCAATTTAACTCAGGGATGGGGGCAAACAGAGACGCATGAAGGGGTATTTTACCTTGGAAGCCTGATGTCCTGAAAGATTGTGTTATGGCAGAGATATGTTGCA